AATTATAACCAAGCTTGACGATCTACAGGACGGCGAAGTGCTTGTCTATAAACCGTGCGACGAGCTACGTACGTTATTAGAGCAGGGATGTATCACTCCCGTACTTGCGACGCATTCATCCTCAACCGAAATGAGTCAAACGAGCTCTCCTATGGGACTAAAACGCAAGGGACGCGCCAAGTCTGTGACCAACAACGTCGAGCGACTACATCGGTATTCTTCAGATTTGGCCAAGATGGACGTGTCCCCGAAAGAAAAAGAACTTATTGAAGATATGCTCATTGTGGGCGACGAACAAGTCGTAGACGCCATGGAACAGTTTGTCGTTCATCGAAATCCAGCACTTGTGCGACGGGTACTGCATGGCCCTGCTGCAAAGGCACTGGACAGCCTTTCAACGGACTTTTCGTCGATTAATATGCACTCACCTGCCGCTCCGACGCTGGAAGGCGACTTTAATGATCCATTTCTTCTTAACGATCCGAATTTGATTGTACGGACTGCAATAGAGTCCCAATCACAGCGACCGTCAATGATGAATGTTGGTGACATCCCGACAATCGATGCGAAACGTCCGTCGCTCCTTTTCGATGGCGATGCGCTTTCTAATACTTCCATCTTTCTACAACCGATCAAGGAAAAGATTACTCCGCCATGTGGACAATCGGCAAGGATGTCGCTCTCTCTTTCGAGCGATTTGGACCCGTGCATGAACGCACAAGCGCCTATGCAATTATTTTCTGTCGAAAAGCTACTGGATGGTGTTCCAGTCGCGCGTGATTTTCATGAAAAGTACAGTGTGGGTGAAGTACTGGGATCTGGCAAGTACTCAGTTGTGAAGCGATGTACGAAACAATTGACGAACGAACAGTTTGCTGTGAAAATTATCGACAAGAGACAGATGACGGAGGTGCGATTCTTAAAGCGAGAGCTTGAAATTATGTATGAACTGCGTCATGACGGGATTGTGCGTCTTTTGGAGCTGTTTGAGAACAACGAAAGCCTATTTCTAGTGATGGAACTCTGCGGTCAGGAATTGTTTGAATTTATTGATCGGAATGGACCATTACCCGAGTCCGATACACGTTCGCTTATTCGTAAGCTTGTGCGTACAGTTTCATATCTGCACGCACATTGCGTGGTTCACCGTGACATTAAGCCAGAGAACATCTTGTTGCCTTTAAATAGTCAAGACTTGAGCGATATAAGGCTCTCAGACTTTGGCATTGCACGAAAACTCGAAGGTCATGGCCATGACAAGGTGTTAACACCTCACGAAAGTCTATCCGAAGTGGCAAATCTTCACGATGGTCCGACCACTAATGCGACGGGATTACCGTCTGCCACCGACATGGTACGCAACCGTATGGCAAGAGCACACACAAAATGTGGCACGCGCGACTACATTGCACCTGAAGTTATGAGTGGAAAAGGCTATGGCACAGAAGCTGATCTGTTCAGTGTGGGCGTGGTGACGTTTGTGTTAATAAGCGGTTGTGCACCGGTGTTTTTGCCCACAGGTGATGGAGTCAAGAAGGTATATTTTGCAGATGAAACATGGAGTGGTGCATCAGACGAGTTAAAACACTTTATTGAAGCGCTTCTTGTACGAAATCCAGAACAGCGAATTAGTGCTGCAGATGCATTGGAGCATTCATGGCTGAAGCATTAAAATCGTGATAAAGAGTCAACAAACGAGCTTCTTCATTGGGAAGAGAAGCTCTCGGGCCGATACAAGTGTCAGCATAGCTATTATTAATCATAATGACCGAAGCAAATAAGTGTATAAAAGAATTGGCGAGCACGTAGTAAATCATCTCGAGCTAGCTTTTACTTATACTAAATTGATGCCATCCTTCTGTATTCACCTCTTGTCTAACTGGATTCATCACGACTCAGCACATTGACTTCATTTCTCGCGTCGTATTGCTGAATTATTTCAGGAGTAGCCTGCACCAGCTCCACCATTGTGGGATTGTCGCAAAGATTGAAATACTCGACGCTACTGCGATTTTCGCTAGGAGGGATGACCAGCACATCATGACCCTCAGGGCCTTTAACAATACCTTCACTTGTGTATGGAACTTTTTCTTGCTTCAAGTAACCTTCCACCTCCGTAAGCTTATCGACCCACAGACTAATAAAGTTCGGATGTCCAAAGCGGTTCCGCAAGACGCGATTTTTATTCTTCCAGTCCGATTCTACACGAGCTGGATAATCCCAGTCCTCAATCTCAGCATCACGTACACCCACGATGCGAAACGGTCTTTCGGCAATATCCTAACAGATTATAATTGAAAACAAGCTGCTTAATCAATGGATTCTACGCCTTTGAAAACTTTGCTCTGTATGCAACGTACATCTTTGTCGGGCTCAAAGTGGATAGGACGAAGAGCTTTCTTTGCAAAACTTGGCTTCGTTGCATATCTCCGCGTTGTTTTTGGCTGGACGAAAGCCACATGAGAATGAAAGAATCGGCGCAGCATTATGGCAGAATTGAGAGATCAGTCGAGGGACATATATTTATAGTATAATCTTTTAAGACCAATCTACTATATTTGTTCGATTATTTATTATCATACAAACACTTACCTGCCAATCATCTTATGTACTTAACCCTTACACACTTGGTCTCATTTTGTATTAGGTATTTCACATCACATTACACTTATGGCAGAGATGTAAAAATAATAGTGTTATTAACGAAAATTAAGAAGTAAATTGTTTTAAAGCTGTGTCAGAACGGTACAATGTATAAATTTAATATTTGTCCAAGCAAAATGTATGTGACCAGATGGAATTATTTTTAAAGCTCTCTCGGGTAGGAGCGCACAAACCCATGATGTAACGGGGTTACGCACACCCTGGTAACAGGGTGTGTGTTAT